TCATTAAAAAGCATTGATCAGCGATCGTGCTGCTCATTGCAAGGAATATCGCATAAAAAGAGTTCTCTGGTGGATTATATGTGAAACTTGATGAAACTTGTATTGCAATTAAATTCGAACAGAATGGCACTTCGAAATCTAGTAATGGATGAGGATTTCTAACAATAAGAAAGAGTTTGAAAAGATGCGAGTGGAATTGCAATTGATATTACTCACAAATAAAAACACATACGAGAAAACCAAACGAAATTTCCAATAGACCGTAGTATATAATAGAATGTGAAAACAATCAGTTGCGAGAATATGATAACATGCAAGGAATGACAATGGTAATGTGGTAATAAATAAAGCGGAAACGCTTCGAAGCAATCAAGTGAACACGCTTATGCATATATACATACATATTTTATTGAATGAATGAATTTAGTCTTATTTATTGTTATTGTTATTATGGTTGAATGGATTGAGGGTATATGGATGAATATGGGATAGCGTTAACGATGAAGCTAACTAACGAGTGAGATTTGAGATTTGAAGTAAAGATATGTATCCATCCAAGCCATCCTTCACATTATAATCTCTGCTCAATGAATCTACGAATCATCCAATAACATTGTTGACGTTATTGTTAGAGCCGGAGTTATGGGCGTTTTATCCAATAAACCAAAATTCAGTCACTATTGTTGCTTTATTGTTATACATGTGATAACAATATGCGTTATTATTATAGTAGATATCAATTTTGGGCTTTTTAAAAACGTATAATGATATTTGAAAGGAAATAAAACATACTCCATACATATGTTTTATACGAATATACAAGTACAAATACTTATGAATACATTTGCAATGGATGAAATCACTCATCGATGGGATTGAATGAATCCGTCGTCATATCCTTTGCTCGAATAAAATTGATCATAACGTTACGTTTCTTGGTGTAGCCGCATTGAAACCTCACCGAAATTATCATAGCGGTAAAAATCATAATAACAGCAGTAATAAGAGTAGCAATTGCAATATTACTAATAATAATATCGATAATAAGAGTGAACTAGCGAGTCTCGCAACTAGACAGTTAATTATGCATGCATTCATTACTTAATTAGACAGATCGAACATATTCCTTATTATTGGTAACATAAGGACAGACACCCTGTTGTCAGATGTTATGCATTAGTGTAGGTGGGGGGTAATGAATTACAGTCGATATTGCGCATTAATTATGTTTATTGTAAATTATAATACTAATTACTGTTGCACAATATATTGATGACTTTGTTCGAACAGGCACACTTTTGGAGTGATCATTTTACGTTTATTTTCATTAATATTCTTGTTTTAATTTAGTTAGCATTACTATTATTATCATTGTTTTTTCAACAATATTCTTACTACTATCATCATGATTATCATTCCTATTATCTTATCATCATTAGCGTTGCTATTATTATCAATATCACTGTCCTTCTTGCTATGATTCTATCACAGCCATTTTGATATCAATAAAACGATACCATTAATAAATGATCTGCCTCATAGCTACTCGGTGCATTGATTAACAAAATTGCTGTCACAACTGACAAGCGTAAAATTTGCGTATGCAATATTCTGAACTGACATTTGAATGGATGCGAATAGCTTCTCAAAACTTGAAAAACTTGAAATTGAATCAACATTTGTTTGACTGGATAAAAGCTATCAAATACGCGATCAAATTTTTATTTTTTCCTTCCCCAAATAATCGCGGAAAAACGGAAACATTATCAGATTCTAATGTTGTGTTGCTATGAAATTATAGTGGAATTTTGTTGACGGAGTGATTTATGGGTGATTCTGAACGAAGTTGACAATAAAAAATGAACAAAAATGAATGTGCGTTCCACTCTAATGGATTGTCGAATGCTTTTTGATAATGCCATTTATAGATGAATGAATAAAGAAAGTATGGTAAATGCACGACTATGAAGACACATTCATTTGGTCCATTAATGCAAAACATTTGCTAATAGTTTTCAAGTTAAGTGATTGAATCCAATAAACGGAACGATAACAATCGAAATGAGACTTTTAAACGAGCGAAAACGTACCCATAAATATTTATTCACTTGGATGTTATTATTTCCAACTAACAACACTGAAAGAATTTTGACTTTTTGATTTATACATGTAAGAATTTATGTGAGTTGTTTTGGAGAAAGTCATGTCAGTGGAGTGT